GTTGTCAAATGACTGTGCTTTCTCAGAAGTAGAACATGTTTATTTAGTGGGTTATGACTGAAAAACAAACAGTACCTAAAACTCAGCTGTATATTAGTGTCACTTTTTTGTTACCCAATGTTTATTTATTATTTCTATCTAGTGGTCAAAGACTTACCCTCATCAATTATGTTTATTCTTAGTTCAATCCACTGGCAGCTCCATTATTCTCAGTTTAAAACAAAATCCCATTTGAATTGAAATGTCTTTTCAGATTCTTTTCTCATTTTTTCCTTGGGGTTGCCTCTGTTCCTAGAAAGTTATTCACATCACAAAAACTGTCCAGTTGATAAGTTGTTGTCTGCTTTTTGGTTCTGTCTTTTCATTCTTATCCTGGACTGCTGTTTCCAATATACCCTCCTCCTCTAATCTGTTTCTCCAGCCATTCTCTATACAATATTCTTTCTAATGTGCTTTCTAATAATGGCCTGCTCAACTTGGCCTGTTTGAATTCAGTTCCTAGTGTTTGTGATCCCTCCAAGACGCCCATCTGGGGTGGCCCATGCTATTTCTTCTGCTGTGGGATACCCATATCACAGCTAATACTGACAGGACCCCAGAATTCTCACTGAACTGTCTCCTTTACCATTGGTGGGGAGCGTAGGCGAGCTTTAAGACTTTTTGGAGAAAAAGAAAAACAGGGCTTGAGGGAAACTAAGGAGGAGGAAGTCTCTAGGCTGTTCACACTCAGACCTACCATGTCACCATTTCTATTTTCTTATCTCTATAGCATTTTACAAGAGGTAGATCTGTGAAGCTGCTGCCTCCCTGAATCTCAGTTAGAAAATGAGTCATGATGCCTTGTTATATACAGTCAGTGCTATGATCTGAATAACTACAACTCCCCCAGATTCATATGTTGAAATCCTAGCCCCCAGGTAATGGTATTAGAAGGCTGGGCCTTTGGGAGGTGATCGGGTCATGGGGGCAGAGCTTTCATGAGTGTAAATCAATGCCCTTCTAAAGGAGATCTGAGATCTCAGGTGATCACACAGCCAAAGGCACTCTCTGTGAACCAGAAAACAGGCTCTCACCAAACACCAAATCTGCTGGCACCTTGGCCTTAGATTTCCCAGCCTTCAGAACTGTGGTAAATAAGATTTGGTTGTTTATAAGCTATCTAGTTTGTAGTATTTTGGTATAGCAGCCCAAATGGACTAAGACTGTTTAGAATCTTCAAATTTTTAAGGAAAATCATGTTCTCATCCTCTTCCTTGACCAAGACTTCTCACTTGCCCCTATGCAAAGGTTTGTTGTTGTTGTTGTTGTTGTTGCTTTTTGTTGTGGTGGTGGTGGTGGGTTTTTTTGTTTTGTTTTTGTTTTTGTTTTTGTTTTTGTTTTGTATGTTCATATTTCCTTTGCTCTCATCCTGGCTCTGAATAGTTTTTTTTTTTTTTTTTTTCCTTTTCTTTTGGTGGTCAGGCAGTAGTGGTGTTGTAATTGAAGTAAAGAAATGGGTCTGTCTATGGACCTTCAGTTTCTTTCAGGCTTTTGTCCTAACTGAATTTCAAACTCAAACTCTGGAGTATACAATTGATCTCTTTGTTTCTTAGTTCATTTTTGACAACCACCTCAAGAGCCAACTGACCACTCTATGTTTTTAAAGTTCACACTGGAGAAGTCTGGCAGGGGGTGTGGTGGTTAAATTAAAGATACATGTAGAGAGACACATCAGTTAAATATGACACATCCTATCACATCATTGAAGTGGGCTTCATCAAAAGTGTAACAGACTACTATGTCATCATTTATGTCATCTTAGGAAAAATGTGACAAATGGAGAATTTTTAAAAAATCACTGAGGGCCATTTTGTTAATCTGGATCAGTTCTGTTACATCAGGGTGTTTCTAAGCAGTGCAAAAAGAAGTATAAAAATCTATTAAGTTTTCCTTGAATTGATTTTGTGATAATTTTGACTTAGGCTACAGCCAGTATAATTCTTATAAGGTGAACAAATATATGATGTTTAAGACCCTTGACTCTGACATCAGACCACCTCTTTTAAAATCCTATTTCTCTCACTTAATAATTGCATAAATTATCTTAACTTAAATTTTCTCACTTGTAAAATGGATATTATTTCAGCATGATTAAGAGCATGAAGTATGATGTTTCATATAAAGTACTTAGCACCATTCCTAATATAATCATTAAGGCCCTAAGAAAATGTTAGCTCACCTCATTTTTATGATTTTTTTTCCTTTCTACTGAAAAATCTCATGATCTGAACAATAGAACTAAAAGAAAATGGCTACCGTAAAGAAGGTAAACAGATGTGGTTTCAGACAGCCAGTGGGGAAATCTCAGGATATGTTATGAATTAATTTCAAGTAAGTTTGATTTGGGTAAGTGAGGAAGCAGAAAAGTCTGAATAGGAGCAGAACCTGTAGCAGAGTGGATTTTATTCCGGCAAGAAAAATCATGGGAAATACCAAATAAATGTAGACCACGTACGATTCGTGGGTTAACAATTTTGCCCCACTCCGCCCTCGCTGGGAAAAACTAAATGTACTTATTGACTCTTAATTATCCCGATCTACCATTACCAGTTGTCTTAATAAAAAAAAATTGTAGCCCTGCTTTTCTTTTGCAACTTATTAGTAGGGTTTTTTGTTTGTAGTTGCTCATTTTCTTGTGCTTTACGTATGCCTATTTTGAGATTTACAAATGAATGCCTGGTAATTAAAGCAAAGTTGTTTATGTTCCATCACCAAGAAGTTTAACCACAAGGATCCATTAGATATCTGATACATTTCAGGCCACAGAGGAATTGACTTTTTAAGATTCACATTGTCGAAATGCAGATACATGGAAACAAGAAATTGAATAGATGAATTTATAAAGAGAGAATGACTTCTGTTATTCTGATTGGAAAATCTGGGGCGATCTTAAGTAATGCATACTTGTACGCAGCAAAAGGCTCACGTGATTTTGAAAGAGTCATATGTCTTTGCAAAGCAAATAAGAAATTGCCTTTATCTAAAAGCAAAAATAAGACAGGCAAACCACTTGATGATTACAACAGTATTCATGACTTGCAGTGCTGACATTCTGTAGATTGATGCAGTCTTCAAGTGTGGAAATCCTGAGTCATACAGAAGATGAGATGTTTTAATAATGAAAAAAAATATTTATATAGTCAGCAGATTGTCAGTAAAGGTGGTTTAGATTACAAGAGTTACCCAACAGAGACTATGTCAGGTTGCAAATTATTCTAACCAGAAACCATTTGAAAATGAATAAAGCAAACTTAGAGTGGATTGACATACCCCAGATCCTTTTATTTTTTTTCTCTCCCTCATTGTCCTCTTTTATCCTTCTCCTCCTCTTCTTTCAAAATGGAAAAGGAAAACTATTGCCTCTTTATCAAGCGTAATACCAGTATGCTTCTGGAAAAAAGAAAAGTGGAGCCAATCTTTCGGCATTCAGGAAGTGTTGCTTGTTCCCGTTATACAAATGCTACATAGTACGCAGATTGTGACTTGTAATTTTGTGAAGTGCTTCTTTATCTCCTTCTATTTGTTCTTTTGCCCTTTGTGTAGTCCGTTTTGTAGATTGTCTTAATGTCCCCAAACACTAATTGTGTCCGATTTTGTAATGACATCCATATTTTACAAAATTCTTTTACTAGTTGAGGGATAAGAAATGTTGTTTAATAATAGAAAAACTTTGAACCAAATTGGCTCATTTAGCTATTCAGTTTCTGACATCCATCTTGGATTACAACAGTTTTAGATCAAAGGCCAAGAAAACAACTTAAGATCCTTGCACCCACACAACAGCAACCTTGCCGCATTTCTACCTACATGTTTAAAGAGTTTTGCTTCATGTTTTGTTATTTAGTTTTAAGCAACATAAAAGCACCTATTACTCTGTGTTTTCACTCTTCCAAACAATTATACTTCAGGTACAACAACAAAGGGAACTAAAACGGGTGCCAGATGTATTAACTAAATTTATTGAGGTAATAATTTCACAATATATAAGTTCATCAAAATATCTTATTACACACCTTAAATATATATAATTTTAATTTTCAATTATACGTCAATGAAGCTGAAAGGAAAAAAACAAAAGTAATTTCGAGTAGGTGCAAACTGAAGATGCCATGTGAATAGCCCATATCAGATATTAGTCAATTAACTGTATTAGACACAGATAAAAAGTCACATTTCCTGTTTTCTCTTTGATAAATTATTACTGATTTTAGCTTTGAGTTCGAATTAATCTATGTCCTATTAATCTATGTATACCTTCCTTTCGTCACTATTTTTAACTTCTAAATTTTAATTTTTGCTATTTGGTATGATTTTTTAAATCCACTTTAAATATTTTTTGGAGGAAGATAAGATAAAATAAGTAAATTAATAAATAGAATATAGGTCTGGACTGTTAATTATGAACCAACTGTATTTATTTTACCGACAATAGTAGACTCAGTTTTTAGCCATCTAATTGCTCACATAATTTATAGTAATCCCATTGTGGAGTACATTTCAAAATAACAACTGAATTTATTTGTCACGTTAGTCTAAAAGAATAATTTTGATTGTTACTGAAAGTATTAATTGAAGCACTGCATAAATGCTCCAAAGATTATTTACATCATCTTTTTTCTCCCAATATCACCTCCTTTTGAAATTACAAATGTTTCATGTTTTTCTATTTGCTATCCACTCATACTCCAAGAAAATAAAAAAAAATATAGCAACGAATTTGTATTGTTTAAATAGCACTGTTCTAGTCTTGTGTTTTTGTCACATACTGTGTTCGTTGGCTTTTTGAAAATTGTGAGCTCTAGCACAGAATTTGCTTAGAGATCATGCTGTCTTCAGGTCAGACCTCACAGTTGCCTGGATTATCTTTTTGGTTTCTACATCCGATGTATTGCAGATTACGCTAATTTTTGGTACTATGTGTATTAATGTTCTTTATTGTTTCTCATTGTCATTTGTTCCAGGTCTACAGCATCAAGACAAGAGTAAGGAATCACCATGGTACTGAAACGCACAATCTTAGTGAGTTAAGTTGCAGCATAAATCCAAGGGCCCACTGGGAAAAGATACCGTCGGAATTTTCCATTTAGCAATAGGACACGAAAGGCATGGAAGGAGAAGACAAAGTGTCACGCAGTTGACTGGGTGTCGACCTTTCTTGAGAAAGCAAAGTGGGTCCTAGACATTGAAGAAAAGCATTTTTATTTGTTTTTTTCCTCATCTGAGCCTTTGCCAACTGTGCAACTCTCTCCTTTTGTTATCTTGCTTTTGCCAGTATATAGCTAAGTTTTTGTTTCATTTTAATTTTTTTTTTTTTCGCCAACCACCTTGTCAGGAAAGGATGAACCACACATTAAAATGCTCATTCTTTCAAGAATACAAGTTTGTAGCTCTACGTGCATCTATTTTTGTAGAAATACAAAAAAGTTGGTTTAGCATTGATGGGCTATTTTTGAGGGATGTATTTTTTTTAATATTGTAAAAATTGTTGAGTTCTGTTTAAAGAACTTGCTCTCAGAGAAGCACTGGCACAAATGTTTAAAATGCTTATCTCTCAGATGTCTATTATATGCTCTGTCCGTGCTTTCTAACTTACCTCAAATGTTTTATGTTTTTTCCTTTTTACAAAAGTAGCTATACCATAGACAAACCAATGCAGTATTGTTTTTACGTTGAATCGCAGTAAAGATTTAATTCCACACTAGCTCAATTAGTTTTAAATTATATGTATAGCTTGAAAAGTTTTTTTAAAATGACTACACTAAAGAAATGATATTTCATTGCTTTGATTTCTCCCAAAGAATAACTTGGAGGTTGACTAATAAGAAAGTTGGCATAAACTTTCAATTAGATGAAGAATTTGCCTACAGGAGACTAATTATCTTTCTAGCCCATCCAAATTTGATAAATGGAACCAGAGTTTATATACAACTACAAGAAAAAAAAAACTGCATTTAACCATGCTACCTGTGAGCGCCAGTGACTTATTTTACTTGTTTCTAATTGTTCATTCATGGCAATTTAAAAAGTCATATTTTAAGTGGGGTTTGTTTTTCCTGAAGAGCATTTGAAGGAACAATATCTGGGAAGGCACTAGAGAAATTACAGAGCCCTAGCTCTTTCTTATAATGCCACCTATCACTGTAAACTAAAACAAACAAACACAAAATTCTATATGTAATAGTTTAAACACAGAACTTAACAAATCTTTTTGTTTGTTTGTTTAAATCTGGCTTTACTTGATTTAATTATTTTTAGAAAGAAATTTAGGGCAAAATAAAGTGTATATTAGGATTTAAATTTATGCCACAATTTAAAAATAAAACCAGAGGTCATATACAATTTAAATTGTGCTAAAAATTAAAAATTTGAGAATTTAACTTGATATGAACCAGGATCTAAATAAACTTGAAATTATCGTTAAGACACTGCTAGGAGAAGATTAAGATTATGAACGTAGCAGTTATTGATACTGTTAAGACTTCAAAGGCAAAGTTCATTTCTTCCATCAACTGCTTCCAGAGATGTCATGTAAAAAAGTTAGTGTAATATGGAAGTTTTTTAGTTTTATGAAGAGGTGTTTTTCAAATTTCTCCCATTTTTCTCTCCACCACATAAAATAGTATGATCAGTGAAATGCCACTTTCTGTCTTTGATTATTCATATGTTATATGTGAGCTTTTTAGACATGAACATGGCATGTTCAAATAGGCAGAGTTATCATATATAATTTTCAAATATTTTCCTTGGCCGTAATTCATGTATTCATTTATATACTATCCATCTTTTGAGTTTCAGATCTATATATTCTCTTGTACTGTCATCACTCCGCACTTTGCTGTTTCTTACCTCGACTCTCTTTTACACAATATGCACATTTTTACCAATGTGGGGTCCAAATTTAAAATACCTTCCACTCACTAATAATATGAACCTATATTTCCTGGGAGTAGCCCGGTTAAATTTTCTGTATTTTGGTCCACAATTTGATTTGATATGATTGTTTTGTTTATAATTTGCCCAAACGCATGGAGCACAAAATTGTGTGAATTTATAAATCTGGTTTTGCCTTGTGTCCTTCTGAATTTTCAAAGCCAAGTGTTCAACAATTCCCATGTGATGACTCACAGGGTTATTTGCCTCATCCGCATCCACCTTTGGAATACATTAACTTCCTTTGTAATTTATTTGAAAGTAATGTTATACTCAAACTCATTCAGATCATTCAGTTGGATTTTCCCAATGAAGCGGAGAAGGAAAGTAGTTACTCCTTGCTCCATTTCTTATTTTCCACCAAAGTTAATTGAAGGGCATTACTTAGATGTCTTCTCCCTGAATTTAGACTTTGCTCTGTGTCTATCCTGATAACTGTCAGATAAAAAATGTATCAGCTCTGAGGACCAGAGAAACGTTGGGAACCTGGTTTCTGCTGTACAGAGGAAAGATTTGTAAGTGAGCTCTCTCTTTGAAAACAGGACCCAGGCTGGGCACGGCGGCTCATGCCTGTAATCCTAGCATGATGGGAGGCAGAGGCTCAGGAGGATTGCTTGAGCCCAAGAGTTCAAGATCGGCCTGGGCAACGTGGGGAGACCCTGTCCCTACAAAAAATTTCTGAAAAACTACCTGGGCATTGTGGTGCACAACTGTTCTCCCAGCTACTCTGGAGGCTGAGTCAGGAGGACCATTTGAGCCTGGGAGTTTGAGTTTGCAGTTTGCAGTGAGCTGTGATTGCACCACTATACTCCAACTTGGGCAACAGAGCAAGATCCTGTCTCAAAAAGAAAAAGGAAAAAGAAAACAGGCCCTAGGTGTTTGGGATACACTGCCACCCAGAGAGTGGATCAAAAATATAAATAGAGAATGAGCATGTCTCTACAATTGTCTTCTAGGACCATATTGCTGTTACCACCAGAAGTCCTAAAAGAGGATGGGTTGTAATTTAGCATAATATTCTGAATTCACTCCAAGTTTAAAATTCTGTCATTCTCTGGCTCTTCTTTTTTCACATCAAAATGATGCTGTTGGACTTAGAGGCTGCTGAACTGCTTTAATGAGGGCTACCATCTGCCTCCACAATTTTATTAAAACCACTCCACCTTTAGACAAAGGTGACTTTTGTCTGATTTTACAAATCAGATTTATTCAAGCTTTCTAAATATCTGTGAACTAGAGCCTAGAAAATCATCTCATTTATTTTAAATAGAATATGTGCTTTCACCAATAAACCATCGGGAGCTAAGAAACAACATAACGTTGACAAATCAGGATCCTAACAGATTATTTTGTCTCTCATTGTTAATTTGAAAGAGACTCTGAACTTTTGAGAAATCAATGTGTCTTCTTAAGAAAGTTAAGCACCCTCTCTTAACTTTCCCCTCTATTTGCTCTCTTTTCTCTTTCTTCTTAAGAGTATTTGTATTATTTTGTTAAGCAAAAATGACCAAAATTGCTCTAAAATTTGCAAAATGAGAACGAATGGATTGCAAATAATTGAGGGATTTATTTCTTTAACTTTATAAGACTTTAAAAAAAAAACAAATTCTAGGCACTGACGTGAAAGTTGTCTTTGAGAAGTTTGTTATTCATTTTGCAAAAAGTATTTGCCCATTCCTATTCTAAGATTTGCAGAATATGTCACACTATCTGGCTTTTGAGTTTGCTATCTGGTTTAATGTTGTATTTATAATTTAAAGTGGCAATCAGAAACTGTATTTCAAAGACCTGTATTCTATCCCTTACTGAGTGTCCCTTCTTTAAATAGTGTTTGCTGAATTAAGCCGGTGGGGGCAGTGGCATTAAGTGGTGGAAAAAGGAAAGTACATATGTTAGAGTTTTGACTGACGGATAAATAGAAAGCAGAATGAATTAATGGAAAAGAGTTTGGCTGTTAGGCCATTCTCTAAATTCTAGTTTAGCCACAATTTTATGTGTGGTTTGGGGTTTTATTTATTTATCTCATGAGTAAAATGGGATAATACCTAACAGGCAGGCTGTGGAAGTTGTAAATCACATACACGCACACACAGACACACACACACACACACACACAGGATCAATCATCTGGCTCATATTAGATGTTCAATAAATAACAGCTACTAGAGATGCCTATCAGTTGAGTAAGTAGTTCCTTAAATTGAGCTCCCAAAGGTCTCTTCTCTTCACGTCCGTATTCGTTTCTGTAGCAATCAAATAGATACATGATTGTTTTTCTGTAAGAAATTACTACAAAGAGAATCTTTGTCTCCTACTAACTGTCCCTCCTACCTGGTATAGGAGATAAATATACATTTCCTAATTAGCTGACTTTTTAGTGTATCATTTCTGAAGGAAAAAGAAATTAACCGTATAGTGGCGTGTAGGTCCAACTCCGTTTTCTTACATGTTCCAAAATTTTATTTAAAGTACTGTGTCCAAAATTATGAGGACAGTGTCATTCATTCACCATGGTTTATATTTTTAGTTCTATATCGAACTTCCTTGGCACCTAGGATAAGAACATTTCTTTTGAAGTTCTCCGATTTTTTTTATTTTTACTTGACTTGAAGGAAAGTTGCAAAATATGGTGGAAAAAATCTTCCGCATGAAAAGGGGGAAAAAACACAACCATTTACGATCTCAGTCAGCAGATTTACTCTACTCAAGGAAAAAAAAGAAACCACCTTATTGGAAGCAGATGTTGACACTTAGTTATTGAAGATGGAAGGAGTTCACTTGAGCCATTGCAGTTACAAAGGGGTATTGATGGCGTTCGAATTCCTGATTGATCACCTTTGCAGCCAAGGGAAAGACAGCAGAAACTGTATGGGATCAGAAATGAAATCAGCCTGCCAGTTCAATGGAGAGGCTCCTAGAAACTCATTTTTTTTTCTTTCCTGTAAGATAAAAGACATCTTTCAGAATAAGAAAGGCTTGTTTGAGAGAGAAATTACAGTTTATTCTCTGAAAATATTTAAAGGCCAAAGTGCCCTTTAAATCTATTGTTAAAACATTAAAAGTATTATTAAAATCATTTTAGAAAAATTGGGCAAAAGTTTTAGCCTTTCAACATCCATTCAAAAATGGATGTTGAAAACAAACATAGAACTTATAAAAAAGTGAATGGTTCTGGCAAGTGGGGGCATGAGTGGAGCCTATAAGGAAACCTCAGTCTCGATAACTTCAAAATGTTACTTTCCTTGGTAACTTGATCATGGAGATTGGTCACAGCACAGACATTTAGAATTTTTTAGCAGGATTTTTTTTTTTCTTTTTAATCTTATAGTGCTCTCTGGGAATTGCACCATGTACACTTTTCCAACCTATAGAAATCATCATTATTGTTAAATTATCTCAATTTTTGTATTTCTTTTATTGTCTATTGTGCTTTTTTGTTTAAAAATACTTTTATAGTTTTAAAGTATTGATCAAAGTAGTATTCTCTTGAAGTCGTAGTCAATTTAATTTGATCCAGTAAGTTTTTCTGAATCTCCTTTTTACGTTCCAATAAATTCTATTATAATTAAGTGTACTTTTACCAATTCCATTGTATAAGCAAACAGACACCTTTTAGAAAAGGATAAGTAATCATCAATTTGTTTTTTTTTAAAAAAACAATTTCTAGACTACTAAATTTGGCATAAGAATAATGCTTTTAAAATGCAAATACTTTAGTTTTTTGGTATATACATAAGATGTGAACTTTCCTATTGATATCTCTTTATATTAATAGAGATGTACATTTCTTTCTATGCTGTGGCTAGAGCAAAAGTTAATAATGATTATTTACACAATTGATTTAATTTCTTAGGATATGTACAATATTGGATATTATATCTGATTTAAAAATACTATTCCGTACATTTTTTTTCAGGAGATAAAACATAGGGAAAAGTTTTCATGTGAATTCTTTGTATCATTTTAAAGTACATATATGTAAAGGGAAGATATGGATACAATTTGTTTTTATTATATAAATCTAGGTAAGGTGAAATGCTTTTGTGAACAAAAATACAGTGTAGTGAATTTTATATCTGTCACTTGATTAAACTGAAAACTAATAGAAATATTATTTTAGTGCATTGAAATGCCATGAAATTTCAGACTTATTAGTTCTACAAGCAGTTATGCTACCTTAATTTTGTGTTTCCAGAAATAAAAATTAACCTTAGTTATGCTGTCATTCTTAATTAATAAAAAATGTATAACTCATAAAATTTTTGGCTTTATAAGATAATTATGAAATTATATATTTTTTCTGTTTTTGTGGGGCTGGGAAAACATTTTGTTATTTCTGTTCACTCTTCAAATGCAGGTCTCATAATATGTGTCAATGATACCAGATGATGGAAGACTTTGTAATAAAAACAGATGTCATTATCTTCAACTTGTTCAATAAATAATTTAATGTGAATTGAATGTTTATATTTGAATGTAGCATTTGGATTTGGTCTGCATTTCTTGAGAATTTAAAGCTCTTTTTGTTTCCTTCTTATTCAGTTAAGCATCTTATAAATATTTTGGAAATTACAACATCTTAGGTGTTTTTAATTAAGAAGTTAATTTCTAGAGCCAAGAAGTCTATATGTTACAGCAAGGAATAGATTATGAAGCACATGTTTATAATGGAAAAGCAAATGAAATGGGGTATATTAATTACATAACAGTAAGAGTCTTGAGAATTTTATAATGCAATGCTTCTAAGGATATTGGTTGACCAAGGTGTATTTTATTGTTTTTACATTTGCTGACAGGGACCCTGCCATAAGTAATATGAAAAAACAAACAAAAACTTTTCCACGATGCATTAACATTGAAAAGAGAATTCCAAGACCGTGTATTCTGAAGAAAGCTAGAGTTTCTCTACGTGGGCCCTCAATTTTCTTATTACACGTATCTTTAATGTGAAAGTACTAAAGTCCGAAAATCAGCATTTAAATAATAGACTTTCCAGCATTACAGATGAAATAATTTGGCACAGGCTTTTTAACTGTCTACCACATTTAGAATGTGGTGTCAAAATGAGCTTTTTAGAACTGCTGTAAAATATCACTACATTGCTACAACGATAATGGCCTAAAAGAACACACATTTACTATCTTACAGCTCTTGTGGGTTAGACATTCGGCGAAGATCTTAGTCTTGGTGGGCTACACAATGTAGACAGCATTTCTTCTGGATACTTCCTAGAGAGAATCTTGCTGTTTCCTGCTTCTAGAGTCCTTTGCTTAGCTTCCTTCCATCTTCAAATCCAGCAACCTGGTCAAGGCCTTCTCACATGGCATCACTAACTTTCTCTTCTTCCTCTCCCTTACATGTGTAAGGACTCATGTGATTACAATAGCTGCATCTGTATAATCCAGAATAATCTCATCATCTCAAGGTTTTGTTTTATTTTGTTTTGATGGCGTCTTGCTCTGTCGTCAGGCTGGAGTTCTGTGGCGCGATCGGCTCCCTCCAGCCTCCGCCTCCTGGGTTCAAAGGATCCCCCTGCCTCAGCCTCCCAAGTAGCTGGGACTACAGACGTGTGCTACCACACACGGCTCGTATTTTGTATTTTAGTAGAGACGGGGTTTCACCATGTTGGCCACGATGGTCTCCAACTCCTGACTTCCTGACCTACCCGCCCTGGCCTCCCAAAGTGCTGGGATTACAGGCGAATGCCACCGTGCCCGGCTCAAGGTTCTTAATTACATCTTTAAAGTCCCTTTTTCCATGTAAAATTACATATTCAGTGGTTCTGGGGATTAGGACTTGGAGCCATTATTCTACCTACAACAATTAGTATTGGACTTCCGTCATTTTCCATCACTCTTGTAATCAAGAAGGACTATTTCACTGGGAGTAGCAAGTCATAATGCTTGCGTTGGCATTTGTGTGGGGGTTTGTCTTCATTCATCAAATAATTGCATATAAAGAAAATTTCTGTCACTACTTCAAATGTTTCATGTAGTTTCTATAGTACTTCAGAATCCAAAGGGTTATGTATTACTTATGTAAGATGAGCAGTCTGGGGGGCGGAGAGCAGGTCATCTAGTGCAGATTCTTCCTAGCTGAAGTGTGTTTTCTCTGGGGACAACCAAGTACGATTTCATTGTTTTGCTTCCTTTTTTGGGAACATAGGCCCATCTTGTGATGTCCTAAGTCTCCAAGCATCTTATTTGACCTGCTTATACACATTTGACTAAATAGCTAAATATGACCACATTGACGTGGTAAAGCTTTAACACTTTTGTCCAGATTGAATCACTCCATCTGCTATCAGTTAAGCAGTGGAAAAACTTATGGAAAAGCAAACATGTTTTGATAGATTTAATGTGTAAAGAGGGTATCCACACTCTGGAATGCTGCTGATCAATACATGAACTGCAAGACTTTGTTCGAAACAACACTCAAACACAACTGTTTTACTTTCCATACCAAGTTTGGCTGTGACTGAATGAAGAACACCAGCATTGATCTTTGCTTTGCACTTGTACAAGAGACTATTTGCAGAGAGCCAAATATAGCAACAGAGGATTTAATATCTTGCCAAAAAATACAAAATCTGTTCCCCTTTAAGCATGACACTCTATCCTTTCTTGTGGATCTTGCTAAAAGGAAAATATAGCTTTAAACTCCCCGATTCTTTCTGTTGAAAACTCACGAATCTTTTTCAAATGAGCTCTGTATGGTTTTGTGGTGTTTTATGTTTCCGAAAGAAAATGGCTACATGAGAAATCTGTCCAATGTTATTTTTCCTACAAAAAATACGTCTGGTGATGGCTGTATTAATTAATTTGATTGTGTTTACACAATGTTTACCCATGTCAAACCATCGTATGGTATACCTTAAATATATACAACTTTTATTTGTCAATGATAACTCAGTAAGTCTGGGAAAATATCTTTAAGTCAAAGGTTAGAGTCATCAGAAATAAAGAAAAATCATACTTCGATAACCTCAAGACTAATCAAGGATAATTGGGTGACATGATATCATGCTGTGTGCCATTTTGTATTAAACAAATTACACCAACAATAAAAAAAAATTGGCTTCAATCAACGAGGTGCTTTCTTTGTCTTAGAACATGGATGCTTTGTTCTGAGTGTTGTCTGATGGGTAGGCAGATTAGTTCAGATTTCTCTATAATGTGGTTAATGACAATAGCTCTTCTGCTCAGTTTATGATGCATATAAAGAATTTTGAAGATAGTCTTGCAAACTTCACCATGAAGTTTCCGCAGTGACAGCTTTACCAGACATCTCCGTGTGGGATTTTAAAACAAACACAAGGCTGTTTGGAAATACTTGGTATATGTAAATATGCAAAATATGCTGAACAGTGCTAACAGCTGTAGGGTGTACTCCCTCATCCTTGAGCAGAATATTTTGGTGGCAGTGTGGTTATTTTTTCCATCTTTGCTTTTAATTCCCCCCTTCTTGTCTCCACCCACTCACCCATCTACAATCTGCTCCAAAAGCACAAATTTAACACCCTTCCCCCTACTTCCACACTGCTTCCAAGAGAATCATTTTAGTGAATTCCCACTGGAAAAGGTGGGTGGTGGCTTGATGGAATGTTTCTGAGTTACATGATGTTGTAAAGCCTGAGCTTCGGGGAACTTGCTTGGACTTGATCTGACACCAAGCTCACACACAGCCCAGACACTCTGCAGGCCAGATTCCATTAAGGCTTATCATTGCAAGAAGAGGAAAAGTCCTGTTGTGAGTGGCCCTTCAACCACAATGATTCCAAAGATCGCAAAGTAGTCATTTTAAATGTGCGCTATCAGGTTCTGTAACATCCTTTTATGAAAATAAGCATATGCCCTATTTTCATATGCCTTTCCTCAGAGACCCAAATGGAGGGAGGACACAAGAAAAGCTAAAATTCAAAGTCTCTTCTTATGGCATCTTGAGGGATTGAAGGTTTGAAGGAAAAAAGATACCAAATATGAAGAGAGAAGGCCCACATCCTAGGACGATTTCCACTGGTGATTTGTTGATATCATTGAATCTTATATTTCTGTTTATCTGTCCAAGGAAGATCAAGTGAAATAAGAAAATCTAAACAGATTTGGGAAAAATAAAGTACTATACAAATACAAATAAATAGGAACCAATATTTAATGAAAGTCCTTGATCTATCATGAGTATTACATGAATTCATCTCAAGTAACTCTCACAAATAGTAATATGCAGATAGCATTATTTGGGAAGCTGTTAGCAATATAAAAATGGGGGTTGAGTTTCAGCAATGCTACTTAGAAGCTGTATATTTTGGATAATTTTCTTGACCTCTTTAAATCACAGGGTGGTCATCTGTATGTAAAATGAAGTTTTGTTTTGTTTTGTTTTTTTGAACTGGAGTCTAGCTCTGTCACCCAGGCTGGAGTGCAGTGGCTCGATCTCGGCTCACTGCAACCTCTGCCTCCTGAGTTCAAGGGATCCTCCTGCCTCAGCCTCCCAAGTAGCTGGGATTACAGGCACCTGCTAATTTTGATATTTTTAGTAGAGACTGGGTTTCACTGGCCAGACTGGTCTCGAACTCCTGACTTCGTGATCTGCCCGCCTCAGCCTCCCAAAGTGCTGGGACTACAAGTGTGAGCCACTGTGCTCAGCTGTAAAATGAAGATATTAAAGGAAACTACTTCACAGAGTTGTTACAGGGATTATCTATTTAATTTACTTATCACTAAGTAAATATTGTTGTTTCTCTTTAGTTAATCTCACTTTTCAGTAATTGAGGAAATCATCAGTAAAGTCCATTCCAAAAGGCAATGATATAATTTGGCTCTGTGTTCCCACTCATATCTCATCTTGTAGCTCCCATAATTACCAAGAGTTGTGGAAGGGACCCAGTGGGAGATACTGAATCATGGAAGCAGGTCTTTCCCTTGCTCTTCTTCTGATAGTGAATGAGTCTCACAAAATCTGATGGTTTTAAAAAGGGGAGTTTCCCTGCACAAGCTGTCTGTCTGCTGCCATCCATGTAAGATGTAACTTGCTCCTCCTTGCCTTCCACCATGATTATGAGGACTCCCCAATCATGTGGAAGTGTAAGTTCATTAAACCTCTTTCTTTTGTAAATTGCCCAGTCTCGGGTATGTCTTTATCAGCAGCATGAAAATGTCCTAATACAGTAAATTGGTACCAGTAGAGTGGGGGCACTGCTGAAAAGATACCCAGTAATGTGGAAACAACTTTGGAAATGGGTAACAGGCATAGGTTGGAACAGTTTGGAGGGGTCAGAAGAAGACAGGAAAACATGGGAAAGTTTGGAACTTCCTAGAGACTTGTTGACTAGCTTTGACCAAAAGGCTGATAGTGATATGGACAATGAAATCCAAGATGAGATGGTCTCAGATGGAGAGGAGGAACTTGTTGGGAATTGGAGCAAAGGTGACTCTTGTTATGTTTCAGCAAAAAGACTGGAG